GTTAAGATGTTAAGATGATCGGACATCAGACAGGAAGTTAAGATGATCAGACAGGAAGTTAAGATGATATCAAATCATCTCAACTTTCTGTGATATAAATTCATCTTAACTTCCTGTTTGATGATGTTAGATCATCATAACTTCCTGTCTGTTTATGTCAGATCATTTTAACTTCCTGTCTGATGATTCCAGATCATCTTCAACATTCAGGACTTGTTTCAGACATCAGACTGGAACATAAAAGCTCTCCAAGAATTTAAATCAGATCATTTCTAGTTGAATCAAATAAAAGCTTTGAGTGACGATGTCCAGGAGAGGAGCCAGGAGGAGCCTTACCTTCCAGGATAGACCATCCCTCCGGTCTCGGTCCACTTCCCTCTGACAGACGGCCCGAACGAGTGAACACTGCTGCCGCCACAGCTGCTCGCTCTGCTCGATGATGTGGTGCCACAGTCTGCAGGTCCGTGAGGCGCTGCAGAGGCTCTCTGTGTCCAGCTCCCCGAAGATCCTCACGCTCATCTCTGTCGGCAGCATCTCTGCAAAGTTCTGAGAGTTCTCCGATGGTTTCAGGGAGGGTCTTGTTCCTTCACAGAGGATGAACATGGGCGTCATCCATGAAGACTCATGCTGCATAATATCCCAACAGGGTGAAGAACCTGGAACAACAAAGAAGATCTGAATCCAAACTGAAGACCAGGTCTGTCTGCAAACTGCACCAGAAACAAATAGGATCCAGTTTTCAGAGCCAGGTGTGATGATCTAACACACAGGGTTCTGTCCGGATCCTCCTCTGTGTCTCAGGCTGCAGTTAGCTTCACACTGATTTAACGCCTGGGTGTCTCTTGAGGTCCATGTCTGACCACTTCCTGTTCAAATCTGGACTGGGTTAGAGTTCATACTATAAAAGCAGGCTCTAAAATAAAGATAAAAGCTGAAACTTTTATTCACAAACAGATTAAAGGTTTTACAGGGTTTAGGTTGTGAAGAGGAGCTGATCAAAGACTAAAACTGTGGATTCTGAAGGTAACTTCAGCACCATGGCACATGTCACACTGAGGCTGCGGGTTTAAATCCCACAAAAATGAGTCCGGCTCAAAGGTTACAACTCTTACACACACAGCCCGCAGATAGCCGACCTTTGTGTCTCACAGAAACGCCGATTTTTACGTTTCTGGGTGTTTTTCTCGTCTCTCGGGCGGTGGAAACTAAAGTCCCGAAACATGTCGGGCTGAAAAAATCTGAAAATCCGCGGTTACTGACGGTAGAACCGTGTCGGTGTTTTCTCGCGGCACACCGACCATTTGAGGATTAAATGTGAGCCTTTCCTTACCTGCAGTAAGTTCGGTTCGTGTCTTTGACAGCTCGCGGAGTTTAAATGTCCCAACGGTTGTTTACACACAGACGTGACGTCAGCGCATTTTTTTACACGATGTGCGCATGCGTATGAATACAGCAACCAGAACGTAAACGTAAAATAACTTAAATATGTTATTATGAAACAATCAGACATGTCGAACTAAAGAAATTCTGCTATTTTATTTGTAATTTATTTTGATTTACTTGTAAACTTACTTAAAAATTTAGATTTTCAGAATAAAGTTTGGCTGTTGTCAGGACTGCGCATGCTCCGGTGTATCCCGGAAGTTTTGAATGTGAGAGTTCTCTTCTCTTGCAGATAAGTCTTCCGGTTCTCCTCGGCTGGTCAGTCCAAAGAAAGTTTACCAGATCCACTAATCGGTCCGAACCGGTTTATTTAGATCCTTCAAACTTTTATTCCTATGATGCTGATCAATAAGAAAAGTTAAACTCCTGTTGTTTCCCTCCACCACAGCCAGCCTGAGACCTGCTGTATCCAGTCCGACCCACAGTGTCCATGTCTGGCTTTGACCTGGTGCCGATGGACGGCAAAGATCCGGTCCACCTGCCGCCGGGGGAGACGGTGTTAGGCCGGGGTCCTTTACTGGACGTGAGTCCTGAGAATTTACCTACAGATTGGTCTTACTTCACTAATTAGGTGACAGCAGGGGCGGTTCTAGGATCTGACCTTTTGCCCCCAAGTGCTGACAATGACTCTTGGCTTAAACAATGTGGTGGTCATGTAAGTTCAATAATAAAGTTGTTTCATTGGGTCAGACGAGTATGTTTGCACTCTTTGCACACATACAAACATTTTGTACTGAAATACTACTATGTAATCTTCAAATGGATAAATCAAACGCTGTACACAATTTCCATTCATAAATATCACTGAAATAATTCTCAGTTAATTAAGGATGCATCACCACTTTGCACATAGAATTTGCCCATTGCAAAATATCAGTGCATTGCAAATTACCGTTTGAATAAAAGGTGCCGATATTATGAGTCTTCCCCCATAAATGCGTTTAAAAAATATAATAGTCTTGACTGTTTTTTTCTAACCTGGCTCATCTTGCTCTCTCTCCTTGGCTCCCTCTCTATTTTCCTCTTCTCCTTTTGCAGTCAACCAAAAATCAATGTCAATAATTTGTCATTCCAAGAAGTACAGGCCAGGTTACACTCATCAACATATTTAACGTACATATTAATTTTTTTAAATATTGCGTTATTAGGCTGCTCAGTGGGGTTGTTTTATATTCCTTTACCTGAACGGCTGTGGGTCTATTCTCTTAAAAAATAAGGTATGTTCATCTATGGAAAAGTAGACATTATGGGTCAGGGTTTTGCTGTTCCACTGTTTCAGTTCACCATCCATGAGGTGGGTCTGTCGTAGTTACTGTACAAATCATATTTCTATTCACTTTATGTTACATATAAAGCAGTGGCATAAAGTAGGCTAACTAACTGTCCTTTCTAGCTACAGTCTAAGAAACATATTGTAACCTAAGCTAACTTTTAGGAAAATAGTGAAACGATAATAATAATCACTCCTTCTTTCCAATAGCCTAGCCTACATAAAGCAATATGGTCATCATCCATCATGTTTATGAGTAGCTTAAAATACCTAATTAAAAGTAAAACTCCAGTAGTGGGCCAGGTCTTCTGTAACATTACCCAATTGTATGGTCAAGAGACAAACATGTAGCATTAACACAGTATGAACATTCAGGAATTGTTTCTATAAGAACATTATGAAAAATGTTAACATGTTTCATTTGAACTTTATTAGTCATACCTTTATGTTTTACATGTGTTGTAATTAAATGAGGCAGTCATGGAGGTGCCAACAATTGACATGACGTGATGGTAAGATCACTCCGCCCACGTTGAAATGTAACCCAGGGTGAGCTAACTTCAGATAAACAAACATGATGGCTTTAATGGTGGAGGTGGTGAAGCTCACAGCGTTACCAGAGGAATTTAGTGAGGCATTTCTGTCTTATCGACCAACATTAAGGCAAAGAAGACTGGAAAAAAAACGAAAAAAAACTGAGCTACTAATAACTTAAAATAGTTACTGCAGTGGATGTTTTCACACCGCAGAGCGACACAGGCCAAGAACTCACAGTGAAATTCAGTATGTAAGAGAGTAAATTGTACATTACACAAACTATTAAACACTTTGTACAAAATCAGTTTTGTTTTAACAAAGACTAGACTTATGCAACCAGAAGTTACAACATATATCTACGTATAAAATGCACAAAACAAAGCACAACTATCTTTAAGCATTAACCTTTAATTTAAATATTAAGCATACAATTTAATTATGACAGAAAATGGAGAATGTGTTGCTTTCTGTTTGTAACTGTTGTATTCAGCTGATCATGGAGTCGGCCGCTGGCCTTTATCCATCTTTTACATGTTTCCAGACTTCGTTTATCCATCCATCCATCCATCCATCCATCCATCCATCCATTATCTTTACACACTTCTTCCTTTTCGGGTCGTGGGGGTCACTGGTGCCCATGTCCAGCTATCACTGTGCGAGAGGCGGGGTACACACTGGACAGGTCACAGGTCCAAATCGCCACTGGCTGATAGAATCGGACTGGATCTGACCCGATTTGAAACCACTGAGCAGGACAGGTTCACTGGAACCAGTTTACTGGTCTCGGCCCAGGTCTGGACTTAGGCCCCTGAGAATCTAAACGTTCTAGACAAAAAACACAAGTTCTAACAGACATGTTCCAACAGACATGTTCCAACAGACATGTTCCAACAGACAGGTTCTATCCGACAAGTTCCAAGACAGGTTCCATTATGATGGTTCTAGCAGTGTTTAGAACCGAGGAGCCAAACGTATTTGTCTTGTTCTTTTTCTAGATCAGCGATACAAGAGTTTCCAGAAACCACGGGCTGCTGGAGAACCTGAATGGACGGCTGAGAATCAAACCGGTACTTTTGTTCTCATCCTGATGTGGACTGCAGCCAGAACTGCTGCTGCTCCACCATGTTCCTCATTAAAGGTTCTGTTTAAAGTGCTGATCCAATATCCTGATACATGCTCAATAATCCAGGTAGAAAAAAAAAAAAAAGTTAAGTCTGGTCCACTGGACCGATCCAGTCTTCAGTTATTTGTTTTCCTTGCAATTATCTATACCATGATTCTGCTCAACAGTTCTGCAGACTTTCTACATGTCTTTCAGGTTTGATCTGAACTTTGGGTGCAGATAACTCATGAGTAAAAACCAGAACCAGGTTTGGGTTCTGGTTTTATAGTTTGTAGTTTAGAGCTGCATTGATCCAGCAGGGGGCGCTGCAGCACCCAGAACCAGATCAGGCTCAGCAGGTTGATTTAAAACTTATGACTGACATGAGTTTGTTTGAATCCTCAGACCCACATGAACCCGTGTTTCATCCAGTCATCCCTGAGCGATGACCCCCGACCTCTGGAGAAGGGCTCCTGGTTCTGGCTTCATCACGGGGACCTGTTCTCGCTGCTGCCGGGTCGGTTCATTTACAGAGTGGAGGCTGTGGGTGAAGACGAACGCACTCCCAGGTACTCCTGTCTGTCTCCTTGGCAACAAGGACCAGACTAATTACTGAGCAAATCTTAGTGTGGTTCTACTGACCCGATCAGAGCCCGACAGTCTCAGACAGAAAGTGTTCTTTGTTTCGTCCTTTGTGTCCTCGTGTCTCTGTTTGAAGTTCAGAGAGACGAGGAGGACATTCCAGAAAATGTCCGACTGACTGCACTTCCAGACATTAAACTTTCACTGCATGTCTGTCAAATATCAATTCCTGCAGAAACAGTCAGAACTTTGAAGAAGACGATGGACTTCCTCTTCCTGTTGAGACAGATGTTGGACATCCTCCAGCTGTTGGACAGGAGCGGAGACAGACTTCACCTTCATCAGCAGATCCAAAAGAGGACGAGGCTGGCAGACACAGCTACACAGATGTTTGTATCACCAGGGATTATTAAAGTCAGATTTGTTCTATCAAGGAAGCTCGGTTTATTGTTGACACTGGTATTTTTGTGTTGAACCCTGGGTTCTAAGTTTAATTATTGTAAAGTAGTGGGTCTGTTCTGTCTCTCAGGATGATCCAACCCGACTAGTGGGCAGAGTTCTCAGCGCCACTGTTACGTCTGCACCCAGGAGGAGAATTTTACCTGCCTGGATGACAACAGCAGGTCCTAAGAGTCTGGCCTCCCATCCAAAAGGTAAGAAAACAACCTCCAAACGCCACCTTAGATTTAAACCGCTCTCAGGTATTTTATTAGAACAGGTGTGTTAGTTATTAGAACAGGTGTGTCAATTATTAGAACAGGTGCGTTAGCTGGGATGCAGTTAAAGCTCTCCCGGAGGTGTGAGTTGAATATCTTTCTGACCGGTTCTTCTGCCAGGCATTCCCAGCAAACTCTCACTACACATTTAGGTCTAACGGGTCTGTCTGGCATCTTTCCTCACCATCTGACCCAACTCACTATCTGGTGGTGATCAGTTGACAGCTCGGTTCCTCTCTTCACCCGAGTGCCCAAAACATACGACCGTAAATCAGATGACACGACTACAAGTCAATCATCGATCTACGACCTATGATGTCCTGGTGCCAAGTGAACTTATGGACACCGTTATTTTCAAACATGGTGTTTGTGATGGACAAATTATGACTAGCACAGAAGTCCAACAACAGAACACTGCTCAGGTTTAGATCAGAGGCCATTCCTCCCAATCCCGCCCCTCCAGGTCAAACTGTCATTACCCACGTGGGCATTGACGTTCCCCAGCAGAATAAAGGAGTTCCCACCTTCCAGCACCCCTGCCAAGGACTCCAAAAAGGCTGGATACTCTGAACTGCCGTTTGGCACGTAGGCACAAACAACAGTCAGAGCCTGTCCCCGCCACCCAAAGGCGCAGGAAAGCCACCCTGTCATCTACCGGGGAAAACTTCAACACACAGGCACCAAGTGGGGGGCTAAAAGTAAACCCACACCAGCTCAGTGCCTTTCACAATGGGCAGCTCCAGAGTGGAATAAAGTTCAACCCCTCTCAAGGAGATTGGTTCAGGAGCCCATGCTGTGTGTCGAGGTGAGCCCATCTATGTCTAGTTTGTACCTCTCAACCTCACACACAAGCTCAGGCTCCTTCCCCACCAGAGAAGTTACATTCCATATCCCAAGAGCCAGCTTTGGTAAGCCAGGGTCAGAGCACCAAGGCCTCTGTTTTCGTCCACTGCCCATAGCGTCATGCACCCAACTTGTATGACCCCTCCTGCACGTGGTGGGCCCACAGGAAGGCAAACCCATGTTTGTCCTTCGGGATGAGCCCGACCGGGCCCCATGGGTAGAGACCCGGTCACCAGGGGCTCGCCAACGAGCCCCTCCCCCAGGGCTGGCTCCAGGGTGAGGCCCCGGTATCCCACGTCCGGGCAACGGACACTGAGCTCCTTGTTTTTCTTGTCCATTTAAGTCTTTTGAATCGCTCTTTGTCTGGCCTGTCACCTAGAATCAATCTGTCTTGGAAGACCCTACCAGCGGCAATTACAATTGTCCCTGACAGCATAGCTACTAGGATAATTCAGGCGCACAAACTCCTCCACAACAATAAGGTGGTGATTCAAGGAAGAGGTGTTAGTTATTAGAACAGAAATAAAAATAATAAGTTCAGTGTTATTGTCATTCATATTTATGACGTTTTGAAGTTATATGAGCTTTTACTTTGAAGATCACATGACTTCCTGTGGTTCTGCAGGTGAGACTCAGGTTGTTTTTTTTGTTTCTCTCTTTGTTTGTCCAGTTCAGTCAACTGTGAAGAGAAGTAAACAATCTGCTGACTCATCAGCAACTCAGGTCACGCCCATTCCCACCTCCTTACCGGGGGAGGCGGAGCTTAGTGAGGAAGAGGAGGACAGGCCAAGAAAGAAGAGAAGGAAGAGTAACCATGAAGAAGAAGAACAGAAAAGAGAAACAGTTGAGTTCTAAAGAGATTTTGTCAGTTCACGCAAGATTCTGTTCAGATTCAGAACCCGTGATCCAGAGCTCATAAATCAAACAGGGGCCTCCTAAACCCCACATAATGGACCAGAATTGTTTGAACTCCAAACAGAAAACCTAACTTTAAATCTTTGTCTGTGGATCTCAGAAACAGAACCTGTTTCTGGTTCTGATCCAAACTAAAGATCCACAGTTGATTACTAAAACCGGTAAAACCTTTGACCAGGACAATTTATTAGAATCAGGATTGTAGAAGCTGGATGAGACCTTCTAACCAGACCCAAGGTTCTGTTGTCAGCTGCTGATGTAAAGGAGCAGAACCCACTCCACCCCGGTTCCTCATGAAAAGATAAAAAGAACAAATAAGAAATCTTAAATTTGATGTTTCTCAGTGGAATTCTGAGACGTTCTCACAGCTTCAAACTGATTGATGGATGTTCCTCTGAGGGTGTCAGCAGTAGAACTGTAAAGGTTCTGTTTTTAATCCAGACTAACTTTTATACTAACTTTTGTATTGAACGCTTTTTGAATCCAGACTAACATTAACAAAACAATTAGAACCTCGGGGATCATCTTCTCTGGTCATATGGATCCAGAACTTTCCTCTCTGAGAACATACTGACCATCTTCTCCCACATCACCTGTTCTTTCTGTTTCAACTGTATTCGTTAGTAGAATGGACTGAAAACGTAATCAGAACAATGTTCTCCATCTTTCAGGACGTTCCTCCAGCAGAACCCACAGGTGAGCCTCAGAGTGAAGCCAACAGGTCAGAGGTCAGCAGGGACGAAGATGCTTCGTCTCAAACGTCTGAGCCCGAGGACAAGAAGAGGTCTGAACGGGTCAGAACCCCGTGTCCATATGGCAAGGACTGCTACAGGTGAGACCATCCTCTCACCTGTCTAGGAAGTATTTGGCTGTTTTTACTTCTGCAGCTCAGGATAAACAAAAACAGACAAGCTAGCGATGGAGGCTGACTCAGCAGATTATAAAAACAGGAAGTTAATGATGG